CACATACATGCGGTGGAATGAATTTGTGTACATAGAGTCCCAGTGACATCCAACAAAAGTATACATTGTAAAGAAAAACAGTAATAAGATCTAAGATGTGAACTAACAAATACGCTAAGAATGCGTTAAACACTAGTAGCACAAAACTATACACTGAACAGCAGCAGCATGAACAACCTTTCTTGCCAGCCTGAGCTTGTTGTTGAAGCAGGGCCCCTAGGGTACCGGGGACAGCTTCTCCTCCAGTCACACCTGCACCTCCTTAGAAAAAGAAACACTTCCAACGTGATCTCTGCCATGGTGCATAAAATATGCATGTGGTAAGCATAGCCAGTGATGGGCAGTATGATGCACATGCTCCACGCATATCGAAAAACAAAGCTTGCTTGCATTGCATGGAAACTAGAATTGTCACATTATTGATTCTGATAGCTTCATGCACTACTCAAGAGATTTAAATTTCCAAGGAGTCCGGATTTTTTGTACTCTTTGAAAGGGGATTTAGAAAAACATTTTTTTGAGGCTTTCTGAAGGGTTTTAGATTTTGGCTTTACATTCATTTTCCACCAAATCCAGTGCATGACCTTTATTGGTGGAATGTTTTTCATTATTAATTAAGCCTTTTAACTCTGACATGTGACTCACTGAGGCTGTTCAGAACCGTTACACATAGAAAGATCAGAACATCAGAAGTGTCATCTGTAAACTCACTCACCTTTCAAATCCAATCTAAGAGTAACACACGTCACAGAGTTCAGTGTCAAAAGAAAGAAAGATCTGAACTTGTAGAAATCCACAGTGAGCTGACATCTGCCAACTGCTCTCCACACAGCTTCTCTGTGAATTTAACAGCTCTGTGTTTAATTAGGTGGATATAATGTGACGTAACACTGCTCTGACTGCCGTTTTCAGCAGCACATTGTAGCACACACGGACCACAGCGGGGCTAAAAACAATCAGAACATACACCAAACCAAAAAGAAACTAAACTTTAAAATATTATGTAATCCACGTTGATTACTAAAATTACAGGAAAATGGACTTTTTTTTCCGTTTAGAGTAATTCTGATAGTTTATTAAGATTTCTAGCAAAAAAACAAACCAAATGAAAAAGGAGAATATTCCCAAGCATCACACTTAAATTATTTTTAAACAGTCAGCGAATCCGTAGTTTTATTGTTTATTTTTATTTTATTTAATCCACTAAATAAAAAACAAATATAAACAGGGGGACGCACTACTGCCGGTGGACCACCGGCGCAATGGTTTATTTTTTTTAGTGGATTAAATAAATTAAAGCAAACTTTTGCAGCAATAGTTTTGGTTTTCCTGTGACTTATTTTCAGTTTGATAAATGGTAAATA